AACTAACGTCTCTAAAGAAGTTAGAGTAGTCTAAAGTGGAGAAGTAAAGCCACCACCTTCCAGCCACTTCCTGTGCCAGCTTCTGTGGCTGGACAGGCTTAGCCAAGGCTTTCCAGGATTAGGATTGTGATGAGTGAAAGCTGGGTGCTAGCAAAACTTTTTGAACACTGTGTGGACTTTGTGGAATTCCCAACCAGGTTCTTTTTTAGAGAGTCGTCACGGTGCAGTTAAACCTCAAGGCAACATCAGCAGCAAAGAAGAGCAAACCATGGCTGTCACAGCGGTCACAGCAGCTCAGCCGTGCTGTAGTGTCCCTGTCTGGCTCTGGTCCACAGAGCTGGGACAGGACTTCACTGGGCACCCGAGTCTACTGCTTCTGGGATGAGGGCTTAGTTCCCGGTAGCCCAGCAATTATAATCCTCTCGGGAAGATACCGGTCCTACTATTTTTGACTCAATCTTCTTATCAGGTCTCAACTCTCAGTACAAAAATATTATTCACACTTTTGTAATTAGAGCAGTTCATAAAGTGGCAGGCATTTGTTTCTTTTTTCTTCTTTTCCATGGAATGATAATTCAATGGTATTCATTAGGAATATTCTCAAACAATAACTTTCTTGTGTCTATTTGGCTTAGGGTAGGTAAAGCTAATAAGCTTAAAAATGAAAAAGCTATACTTTTAAAAACTGTCAAATACTAAGGAAAACTAAAAATGAGAAAACTTAGTGAAAGGAACCCTTCAGACACAACCTTACCCAACTGAACATCAGGAGAAAAACCATTCTCTGTATACCATAAGTCCAAGAAAACTTCCATACCTCAACACCTGGTTAAACTATTATGTTTCAGTTAGTACAAGCAAACAAACAAAAGATTCTTCTTTACCATGTGCAGTTTTCAGTTAGTGACTTAATGAGTTGACCAGATTTGTGGGTATAACATTTGTAGGATCCCTTGTTAATAGGTAATGGAGCCTCTTATTACTGATTCTAATGGGTGTTCAAAGCAAATGATTCACCCTCACTGATTTCCACAGTCACACCTCCAAGCTGCCCACTTCTGATTGCAATGGGAATGAAGATGGAGAGGTGAAAATGATCTGAGAGAATGACAGCTACTCCTGAAGGATAGGTGAAGGTTCGATGACCCCGGGAGCGCACTGGCCCATTCCGGTGAATCACTGCTTTGGGTAGGGGAAAGACCCTGTGGCTCGTAAAACTTGATGATATTAAGAACAGGGGGAAGGAAGTCACACTTAGATGTCAGGGTCACCGCTAGAAAGAAATACAACTTTAAAAATTCAAGTGCAAGAAAAAAGAACATATTTAAAAATGAATTACTAATTTTTTTTTCTTTTATACGTATTGGGGAAAACCCATATTTACAGATGTTCATGACTTATTCAATGCACACCACTGGGAGATAAATAGAACCGTTAGAATACAAAAATGCCAAGGGTAATTCAACTACTGCAGTCTAAGTGTGGCATAACTGATTCGTCATGACACACAATTTTCTAAAAGCTATTCTGTTAGAAGGCAATAAATGAGTGCATAAATGATTTACACTCTTCTGAACCATGGTTATTATTCAGTATTTTATTTTTAAAAATATATACACCCTATACTATTATGTTTATCCTCCAGAGTATAATAAAAACATAATTGAATTTGATGAAAAATAGACTTGACTCTAAATGTAGCACACAGCACATGCAGCTACTCCCTTATTTTATCCCTTGTGAAGATCAATGTCACTTGGACTGGTTCTGCTCCAGGTTCGTTTTAATATATGGGCAATAAAATACTTTTTAATTTAAAAATTATATCCTTATGTTCTCTACTATATTTCCTTTTTAATACTAACATCTGAGTTTCAGCCCAAATAACATGAATGCAAAACACAATATTTTAATCACCGTGTTGCTTTTAAATATGATTTCTTATTGACCAGGTAGGGAAGGAAATTAAGTACAGATGGTACAGCAAATAAAAATAAGGTCTATAACAAAAACATCAGAGTCCAGTGGCATGCTTTGTTCTGATGGAGGCCAAATGCTATTGTGAAAAGATAAATTTACCTTTCAAAAATAGTATCTATGTTAAAAATATAGTCATCTCTGGAATTTAGAAAAAATGATTTCTTAATCTATGATAAGTCACCAATACCTGCATTTGCAAGTTTCTTTGGGTTAGAAACTACATCGTGCAGTATATAAACATATACAACGTACAAATAACTACATATTTAATATAAAATGCCATATTTATATGTAGTATCAGATATGGTATGTGCTCTCAACAGTATGTTTTCTTTTTTAATGTATTTTTATTGGAATGGCAGATTTAGAGAGAGGAGGAGAGATGGAAAAAAAGGTCTTCCATCTCTGCTGATTCACTCCCCAAATGGCTGCAACAGTTAGAGCTAACCTGAACCAGGAACCAGGAGCCTCTTCCATATCTCCCATGTTGGTGTAAGGTCCCAGGGACTTGAGTCATCCTCCACTGCCTTCCCATGTCACCAGCAGGGAACTGGATGGGAAGTGGAGCAGATGGGACACAAACCAGTGCACATATGGGATGCCAAAGCTTGCAGGTGGAAGGTTAGCCAATTGAGGCATCAAGCCAGCCTTAGTATGTTAAAACTTTACACATACAGTATTGTTTATATATAAGGATTCTTCAAAAAGTTTATGAAAATGCATATTATCTAAAAAAATTCATTTGGAAGGCAGAGAGAGAGAGAGAGAGAGAAAGAGAGAGATATCTTCCATGTACTGGTTTATTTCCCCAAATGGCCTACAATAGCCAGATCTACACGCAGAAGCCTGTGGCTTGGAACTCAGTTTGGGACACTTACATTACTGGCAAGTACCCAAGTGTCTGAATCATTATCTATTGTCTGCCAAGATGCACCTTAGCAGGAAGCCCGAATGGAAAGCAGAGTCGGTACTTGGACCCAGCTCCTTTGCTATGTGATGGAGGTGTCAAGCAGTGCCTTAACTATTATTCCAAACGTCTACCACACATTATCTGGATTTTCATTCTTTTTTAAAAGAAACAGTTATTTAATTTTTATTGGAAAGATTATATTTACAGAAAAAAGGAAAGACAGAGAGAAATATTCCATCCATCGGTTCACTGCCCAAATGGCTGCAACAGTCGGAGCTGAGCTGATCCAGCGTGCCACGTCTCCCTTGGAAGAAGCACTAGTTGTGCCTCTTGGTCAGCTGCCCTGCTACCAGCTTTGTGACCCAGAAATGTCCATCTAAGGACACTTTGTTTTTAAATATGTGAACATCAAAGGGCAGCTCTCCTACCTCCCAGTTCATGTGTGACCCTTCTGCACTTAACTTTACGGAATGTCTAGGTCCAACAGCTAATAACTAACTGATGAAAGGCTTCTCTCTCCTGAGCATGAAGCTCACTGTCTCACATGGGCAGTCTTTCCTAATGCCACGACAAGTCAGGAGGATGTTGATGTGGCAAAATGCACTGCAGGTGTCTTACTTGGGGACTAGTGGTCATTTACCTTAATAACATCTCTGTGCTAGCTGCTTTAGAAGGTGCTGAAATGCTATCCTGTCTTGCTCTCTCTTAGTGGGCTGCCTGAAACACATCGTCGTCCTGCTAAATGCTTATCAACCAAAGGGCTTTTTTCTTCCTGTTGCATGCAGAGAATTTTAGTGATGGGAGATTTTCTTTCTAATTGTAATTCCCCAACAATAAGCCATCTTTTAGAGTTATGTATGCCTACGGTTAAGATGATGAAGAATTCACTATATTTTCAGTGAAACAGCCATGAGCGTGGTTCCCTGAAATAAAGGCCTTCTAAATTCTTTTCTTATATTCGGCTGAGTTATTCTTTCCCTGGTGGTTGGAGAATCTAACATTTTGGCAAGTGGCAAATCTAACACTAGGTGGAAAGGAGGCTTAAAACAATAAGCATCATCATGTATAAGAAGTTTTTATTTCTAAATTTTTTAAGACTTGCTTTATTTTTATGTAAATGGCAAATTTACAGAGAAGGAGAAGAGACAGAGAGAGATCTTCCATCTGCTGGTTCATTCTCCAAATGGTCACAACTGTCAGATTCCAGGAGCTTCTTCCGGGTTTCCCACAGGGGTGCAGCATCCCAAGGACTTGAGCCATCCTTTGCTGCTTTCCCAGGTCATAAGCAAAGAGCTGTATATGAAGTGGAGTGGCTGGGATGGGAACCAAGTGCCCATAGGGGATTCCGACGGCACAAGCTGAGGTTTTAGCGTACAACTCCGTGGCACCAGCCCACATAAGAAATTTGTTTTTAACGTTCTGTTTTCACAACAAATTAGAGCCAGTTTACTCTAATATCTCAAAATGTTTAGTTTCTGTGCATATCTTTCAACCAAGAACTTATAACTTTTAACATTCTATAAGTTGAGAGCATCTATTTGAAAATCTGAAATCAAAAAATGTCAAAAAATCATGAACTTTTGAGAGCCAACACTGGAAATGTCCACATCTGACCTCATGAGAAACGCTGCCGTCAACACAGATGCACAAGAAATATCACATGCCATCACCTTAAGGGCATGTGTATAACTTGGTGCACATGAAATATTAATGAAGTTTGTGTTTAGAATTTTGTTATATCCTTAAGAGACCTCTATGTATATGCAAATACTACAACATCTGCAAAAAATTCCAAATCTGAAACACTTATATTCTCAAATATTTTGGGAGAGGTTTAAAATTCAGGACAGCAATGTTGGAAAACGGTAAGAAATGATTAATGGCAAATCAGTAAATGTTAATGTGTCCATCTAGCCCAATTGGGAGTAGTGCGATTCAGGCATTTCATTCAATTTTGAGGGTGTCTGGTCTACTGAATATTTTTCAGGGAAGTTCATGGTAATTAAACCCTAACATGACCTAAGAGCAGGAAACATGAAAACTAGGTTAGGTAGCTTCCACGTAAGTCAAACATGAAAACAACCTGCTTCAAATAACGAGCAATATTTACCTTACTGCATTTTGTTCGATCTTTTCATCAATATCACTGAAGATCTGCTTAAACTCCAAGTCTCCAGGAAATGAGTTTAACAAACAGCGTAGGTCAAAAGAATTATGGGAATATTCATCTCCCCAATCCATCCTGAGGAAGAAGAATAAACAACAGAACTGCTCAGTTTTCTGCAAATCAGGTAAGGGGATGGTGGGGGGCAAAAACCTCAAGTTGTAAAAGGAAACAAAATACACTCTCAGGTACAGGCTCAATGAAAAACAGCTGTAAGAGAATGTGGCCATTCCTAAACCAGGTAGGTCTTGTTATTTACATTTCATCAAGTTTGATCCAATTTCTGCACTCTCCCATGGCGTGAAAGCTGAACACAAGCAGCTTCCCCAGGGGAGCGGCATCCTGCTGCTCCTCACCGGAACTCCATGCTGCAAAGGAAATCACAAAACCCTTGGACCACTGAGTGCAGGACATGTCCAGTAGGAACTGAGCACTCCCTGCACACTCTTGTCCATATACTACCCTGGAAACTGGAGCCTTGCATATTCTAAAGCCTCACCTTCCTAGGCCGATGTATAAACCAAGCAGCAAAATTATCCCTGAGGTCTTCTAGCATCCTTTGGTAATGTCCATGTTGATAACTGATTAAACAGTGAAGGAGAAATGGTACCCGCTTCCGTGAGGCTGCTTGGCTTCAGCAAAGGATCATCCTGTGTCCAGTGCCAAAACAGTAGCCTCAGAACCTAGGGCTTTTTCCTGACTCCCATCCCCTCTAACCCTTTTAGCTCACAGAGGCTCTTTTCTGAAGTTCACTGGCTAAACAAAGTTCCTCCAAAAGTAATGTAACGGCGATGGACTTCCACCTCTGGAAAATCTCACTAAACAAGAAAACGCAATCAGAAGGGAAGATACCAGAATTGATATCATTCCCAGGCTCCCACAAACTCTGCCTGAGATGACTGGCTGTCTTTGTGCCTGTTCTTCTTCCCTGGAAATATACACTGCTTCTCTGGAAGGACACACATCCTACCCCTTCCTCTCCCCTAAGGCAGTGTAAGGGGAAGTTTCCCACCACCCTCACAGGCCACCTGCATTTCCCCCACATCAAAGTGCCAATCAATCACTCATTTATTCCATATACATGTATTAAATATTTGATTGATAACAGGCACAGCTGTAGGGGTGGGCTATTGCTGCACTAAGTTAAACACACTGACCTCTAGGAGCTTTCATTCGGGTGGGGGAGACACATTTGCAAGACACGCCAAGTAGACAGGTCAGAAGCGCTTTAAGGAGATGGAAAGCAGGCAGTGGGCCGGGTAAGAGTCAAGGAACTGGGGCAGGGTAAGAGCTCTTGTTTTGATGAATATGAAGACAAAGCTCTCTGAGGAAGTGCTATTTGAGTGGATGAAAGAAGTGATGGATGGGAAAGGTAAATTAGCTTTTGATTACTTCAGCCAAGAAGGGACTCTTATCACATCTGTTTATATTTCACTGGTGACTGCTAGTCACATGACTCTACCTGAATGCAAAGGTGGCTGAGAAACGCTGTCACTGGCTGGGCAGCGGACCCCAGGAGAGCTCCATCTGATGAATGGAAAGCACGAATATTCAACAGCCAGCCTTTCTACCCCACCTGTTCACTAGATTAATCTCAGTTCTTCTGCATCCTACTGCTTTGCTTGAAATGTCTAACTGATCCTTGGTTGTCCATTCCGGCCCTGAAGTTAGGCTCACCTGGCTCCTAGCCTTGCTCCAGGATGAAAACACTGGTTACATGTCCCTTTAAGAAATATTGCATAAAAATTTTACAGCTTTCAAGAATAGGGATATTTGTTAGGACTAAAACTACCTTATAATCAAAGAATTCAGAGATGAATCTAAGCTTTGCCAAATTTCAAATGCACAACCTTTGAAGAAAGTTATGCTTTCAATGAAGAAGAGTCATAAGAGGCTAAGCTGCTCCTGGAAGACAAAATTAGTACATACAAGTTTGTGAATACTGGTGGCGCAGATGAGAAATTTGACCATTTAATTTCTAATAAATAAATATACACAAAATAAATGTTAAGAAAAACTCTTGGAAAATATAATTTTAGTTTGGATAAATCCAAAATATTTAAAAATTGTCTAACACATTTTGCAGAGGCTACAACACTGACGGCCTTCCTCATCATTAATTTTTAGGATATGTTAACTGCTTATCCTATAATGAAATAGTCAAGGCTTTGCATATGATCTTTCTGGAGCTTTTCAAAGATTTCTTTGTGTTTATATCTGTTTGAAAAACAAAGAGATACAGAGATAGAACCATTTGCTGGCTCACTCTTCAAATGCCAACATACCTGGGGCTGGGCTAGGCTGAAGCCAGAAGCTCTGAACTCAATATAGGCCCTCCAAGAGGGTGGCCGAGGCCATGCTAACAGCTGCCTTCTGCCAAGAGTGCACATGATCAAGAGCCTGGATTTGGAAGCAGAGACAAGACTTGAACTAAGGAACTCTGATATGGCATGCTGGCATCCCTCAAAACCACTTCACCACTGGGCCAGATGTCCACTTGAAACATTTTAATCTAAAAGTATATAGTACCACAAGGTTTGCCATTTGTAAATTCAATTGCTTCCAAATGTATATATCATTTAAAAGGTTCAAATCACTACAGATTTTGATTTTTCCTCTCTTAAATTCTTTTGCAACAAAATTTGCATTTCCTCATTTCAAAACAAATATTTACCTAATACCTACCCTAAGAATACATACCGATATAACTTGAAATGAGACCACAAAAGAACAAATAAACAAACCAAAAGAACTATAAGCTAAATGGTAGAAAACTCTATGCCTATCATAAGTTATACCTCAGGGTACCAAAACTTTAAAATTCTTCCCCTGGAAGCTCAATTATACTTATTATCATAACAGTCATTCCTAAATCTCCTGGCCCAAATTACAAATCATGAATTCAATTCCTATAGTTCTATATTTTTTATATCATTTTGGTATTTGAAAGCTTCTCTGTTATGAGTCAATCAAATATTACTTCAGGAAAATAAAATTTTACTTTCTTTATGAAAATACTTGATTGGGGCTCTCATAGAGAATTTTAGAAAATTTTATTTTATAAACAACTTCTAATAAAGCTTTTAATAAACTTGTGCTTGTCTCCAAGTTTTCAAACACTAGAAAACCCCCTTAATTCAGATCTCATCCATCTAAAACTGAAAATGCATACAGAAGCAAGCTTAAGAATAACAGCAAATGACAATAATATATATATTATATTGTGTTATATATATTGTGTTGTGTCTCTTCCATGTACAAAGTACTTTAAATACGTTAACTTCCTTAATGTTTCCAATAATTCTGTAAGAGTCATTGTCTTCATTTTAGAGGAACATGAAAGGAGACTGTGAAACAGGATGTGGGTCTCCCAAGCAGTGCCATAACAACCAGCACCACAAAGCCTGCCTTGTCTTCTAATCTGAACTCTTACTTTGTCAATCTGCTTATCATTTCTTTTAAAATCGAACCCAACAGTTACATAACTCCAAAATACTCCTTAATTATGGCGATATTCCTCATGTTTTGCATCGCGTCCTGGCATCTGTATTGTTAAAAGAACATGTGTTTGGAATTGTTTTGATGTTGGATGTGGGCGCTTGGCAATTATTGGAATAAGACTATGAACTGTGACACTAAGGATTATCCAATTTAAGTCGGTGATCATTAATTTCAAGGTTCCCAGTATACACAGTTGTGTGACCTTTCTCTATTCAGCACTGAGGTTTATCAGTAAATATATGGAATGCAATAAAGGAATGTCACTGGACAACAATAAAGTGTTAGGCCCAAGACTTCATGTAACCTGCAGAGTTCTGTGATGTCTGTGTACTAAGATGGTAACTGACAAGAGAAGCAAGAGCTGCCTTTATAGATAGGTATAATGTTAAAATGTTCTGTGATAGGCTCAGGGAAAACCTATGGGGCAAAATACAACAAGCACGACGAGATTACTTTGAGTGAATAGAGGGGCCCAGCATCAACGTGAGGAACAGCAGAGAGAGGGTGAACTGTGGCAAGTGTGGCCAAGGTCTGGATTTGGAAGCTTTCTCTCTAGGATGGCAACAATTTGGCATGCACTGGAACAGGACGAGCTCACAGAGCTACTGCTTGCAGAATAAGTGTGTTTCACTGCCATGTCTACTATTTGGTGCAGAAAAGTACTATTTTACTTCTATCTACTGAGTAAAAGGTAACCACAACCTCAACAAGACAAAAATAAATTATCAGGAGGCTGCTGTAGGTTGGCAACTGTGAGGGTACTTCCAAAAGCATGAGGAACCAAGTTAAAAGGTAAGCCTGTTTATTTTTTCGATTCATGCCTAAGTTTTTCATAATATTAACTTTCCATGACTGTTTGAAGATCCCTCACATGTATGCATTTCAAAATTCTGCACAAAAACAAACTTGTAATTCCATCTTTCCAGGTACTTTCTGGGAAATCTTCACACTTTAGTGATACTTTGGAAAAGTAAAGCTACTTTTATAAATCATTTTGGGCTACTACTCAGCCATTAAAAAAAAAATGAAATCCCGCCATTTGCAACAAAATTGTGCCACTGCAGACCATCATGCTTAGTGAAATCAGCCAGTCCCAAAAGGTCAAATATCATATGTTCTCTCTGATACAAGACACCCTTAGGCAAGCTATAAAAGAAGCAGGGGTAGGTAACCAGGTCCATACATCCACTCTCACAGATGAAGTATCACCGAGACCAGCATTCTGGGTGTTAAGCTTGTGTTACAGCATGCATCTCTACTCCCGAAGAAAGGAAGACTTCCACTACGAATCATTTAAATATACCCATACAGCACAATGCTAGACCTCCTCCCTCTACTCATAAGTTAATCTTATAAAACTGTTGTCCAGGGACTATACTACTGTAATCCTTTGGAAAATACTAGTGTGGCTGGGGGAGGGGAGCAGATGAGGAGAGAGGAAGGGACAGGGAGAGGAAAAACCCTTATACCTACAATACTGTATCATGGTGAAAATTGTTTTTTTTTTTAAAGATTTATTTTTATTATTTTTTTATTAGAAAGGTGGATATACAGAGAGGAGAGACAGAGAGGAAGAT